GTTTGAATTCTAGCCCAAAAATAAGTTTTGACTGTGTTCAGACACTCTATTAAGATTTCTTTCTTATATGGACAAGAATATTACAAAAACAACAGGCACTGAAATAAGCATGACAATGGTTTATAATGGCTATTTTAAATAAAATAAATATTTCTATTTTTAGTTTTCTTGTATAACTGTTATGAATCCTGCTAAGAGTTACCGGAGTAGGAATTTATAGCAATGCTGCTGATACAATTAACTGCCTCTACTCTTATTTCCAGAAGTTCACAGTTACTACTATGATACTCCAGCAGAGAGATGTGCATTTGCATCACAGACTCAAAGGACTACTGCAACACCACCAGTAAAGATACTTTGCCATGAAACCAGCAGCACCTCTTATGAACCATTCGATATGGAAAAATATTCATTTCCCATTCATTCAGGAAAAATATTCATATCCCATTTTAAATAATCAGTCAATGGGATGGTTAAAGGACTGTGATCTGATATAATCATGCAGTGAAGCACATAAAATCAAAAGCATATACAGAAGCAATCCATACAAAAGCAAGTCCAGTACAACAAAAAATATTCATCAAGATTACTGGAAAAAAAATACTATGAAATACACACTTTCAAGAGTTGACACACAAAGATGCAACACATAATTTCATGTTTCTCCTTGAAACATACACATGAGCTGCTCTTTTGACTTTGCAGTATATCTACATTCATATGGGTGCCTGTGTTCATTTTCCTGCTTTCCCATTTACCCCCTTTCCATCATCAGATATAGACTCTTCAATTTTTTTTCAGACAGAATCCAAGACAGATAAATGTTTACTTTCAAATTCTTTTAAAAAAAAATGGAAGCTTAAATAATAATTGACATCACAAACAATGTAAATAATTGTCTTTGACTTATGGCCATTTGCTTAATGACTATTTGAAATTAAGATGAATAAAGAGACCTATGACCAGTCCTCACACTTATGACTGTTGCAAAATTCCCCTCTTCACGTGATCAAAATGTGGGTGCTTGGCAACTGACATGTATTTACAGCAGTTTCAGTATCCTGGGGTCACATTGTCCCATTTGCAGTTTTGCCAGAGGGCGTTCCATTGAGTCAATTGGGAAACTTGGATTGGCTTAACAATTGTGTGATTGGTTAACCATTATGGCAAAAAAAGATAGCAAGATCGACTGTGATTCACTTAATAACCACATGGCTTAATAATGGAAGTTCCAGTCCCAATTGTGGTTATAAGTTGAGAACTAGTTACATCTAGAATTTAAGGTCTAAGTCACAAAGTGAGATACACAAATGAGGGTTTTTTTTTTTAAAAAAAATGTTTTAGGCCACATATTTCTTTAACTTGAGATTCCAACTGTTTCAGCCCAAACGTACATAGCTTTTGCACAGAATGCGGAAGATCTCAGCTCTCCAGAAGAAAAGTAGAGACCTTTTAATTTTTTTTCCTGATTTCCTAAAAATGGGATTTATTTTTCCACCCCTCCACCTCCAAATTAAAGAAATGGTGCTGATTATGCACACATCAAGTTTCACACAATTGGGTTGTCACTGAGCATAAGGTGAACATCTATTTACTTTTTAAAACAAAAGATAGCAGATTCCACCTTTGCCAGTCCTATTTTTGTTATAAAAGGATCTCACACAGAATATCTGAGAAAAGACTTGGGGATGAGATCTTGAAAAACAGTGTCTGTCATCACTGAAAATTGTGAATGTTTATGCCTAAGACAGTCTCATGTCTTCTTTTGAAGCAAACTGTATTTTTCACTTGACTGTGTCAAATATTTTACGGCTTCTTGAGAACTGCCCACGAAAGCTGAAATTGGGAAGTGTCATATCTTTTGCTCTTGTACTTTATCAATATTATTCAGGGACTGACGTCATTGTTTGGGGCTGTATCACTTCAACTTTAATAACAGGCTGGAGCCTTCCTTGTCTGCCTGTGTAAGCTGGATAAACACAGAATGGTGTGAGACTTTTTTTTTTCTTGTCTCAGGATCCTTACCCAGAGATCACAAAATGTGCTGTTATTGGGAAGTAAACATTTCACTTTTCTTTTTGCTCATGTGCCAAAAACCCATTTCTTGAATAAACACTTCACACATTGTCGGTCTTAAAAATCACTAAATATGATAAATAAATAAAAATGTATACAGCATTTCAGAAATGATTAAACATCTCACTTCTGACAAATGAACAGCCCATGACTTTATAGAATCCACAGGTCAAACATACCATTTCATTATGTGTGAAAGATTAATTTTCCATTTCAGCTCAACTGATAAACAATTAGATTTTTTTCTAGAAGCATTGTGCCTAAAACAGTATCCACTTGAAGAACGTTTCAGCTATTTCATTTTCTTTCATGGTTGCTTGGCTTTACAATGCCATAGAGAGGCAGCGTTGTAAAACCATTTTTTCCATTTCAAACAATGAATCAATGTTTCCTTGTCATTCTAAGACATGTAATCATGACATAGACACTCTGTGGCACATAGTCACTTCAAAAAGAAAAATCCAACCACATTAAATCACATTAATTGTGCTTCAGCTAATCCATCACTGCAGCTAGCAGTAACTCGTCTATTCACCCAGTGCGTAGCTATTTTACCCATGATTAGCAGAATGCAACTAATCTCTTATTTATTTAGTTTTCTTGAGCTCTCCTCTTACCCTCCGCCCCAAAAGTGTCTTTGACATTGACATAGTTTGAATGGTAAATAAAATTTTGACAGCGTGTATATCCTAGAGGAAGAAAAAAGCAACCCAGTTTACTGTGGCAATATAAAGGAGTATTTTTCTACACCATATAATATACAAATAAAATTATTATACAAACAGATTGCCCTCCTGTTGTTTGGCAATATTAAATGCTAAAAAAATTCCGAAAGCTCATACATACAAAACAAGCTAAAGACTTAGATACTTGCATTTTTTTTTTTTAAAAAAAAGCATATTCATGATGACATGCATTTTGCTTTACGATCCCTGGAAGATTTTTTTTTTGTTGTTGTTTCTAAATGTTTCAGTGGCACACATGTGTATTATAGGATGGAATCCAAAGGTAGATTTCTGTAAATTAATTTCCACAGAGAAATTCCTTTTTTCTTGTATCTTTAAAATCTGCTCTAGAAATAAACTGAACTACTAACAGAAATATATAGGGAGAGCATGCGTTGGAAAAAGGGGAGCTGCCAAAATCCTGTTACGTATTTAGACATTAATCACATAACAATGAGTTTATCACAGAGTTCAGTAAGGTAATAATCCAAAGTATTTTTTAAAATTAGTGTGTTATTCTATTATTGTTAATAGTTAATTTTTTTTAAAAAAATTAAGATTTTCAGTTTTTTTAAAAAAAGGCAAAATAAACTGTTAGAGATAGAAATCCAAAATCAACTCCTGCTTCATGGCTACTGCTAAATAACAGTGAAACACTTGCAAATTGGAGATTGCCTAATTGTCCATCTAAAGATGCTTTAATAAATTCTTAAGCACTACTGCAAGAATTTTATAAATGTAATGACTGAAATATCCTCATATACAAGGAATGCAGTACTTGTTGTTATATCCTCAAACCCCCATAACTTTAACCTTAAACTGTCTACTGTTGACTTCACCCCATTCCTAAGAGATCAGTAGGGATGTGCTTAAGTGCACCAGCGTACCTAATGTTCCTATCCTACTGTCCCCATTTATTTGTACCCATTTCATGTGTTCTTATTCATGTTTATTTTTATTCCTGTTATCTTTCATATGAGTGATAAATAAAATAAAATAAAGCTCTCTCTGCCCCTTCCTTTACTGCATTCTAATAGTCAGTTTGCATGAGGCATGAGATGTATATCTTTCAAAGTGCAACTATAAATCTGCAAAAAACGTGACTATAATCAATCAAGGACTCAAAAAACTCAAAGAATAAGAACTCAAAGGCTTTATGTGGCCCATGTCTTCAAGGCTGCACAATTCCTTCCTTGTGTCTATTCATACAATTCCTTTAAGTAAAGTATTTTAAGTACTTTGCAGAGTTTAACAATTATTTAAGTTTTTATGCCCAATACATGAAGACTTGAATTAAAAAAATATTGAGATTCAGCCTTCTCCAACCTTTCATAGAGTGAGAAGGAGACTGAGGCCAGTAGCCAGGTATTTAAACTACTAATGACTTTGAAGCAAATAATGGAAAAAAACACAGCTACAACCAGAGTAAACTCAAAGCCATTTTACATTTTTCCCCTAAGGATGTTCTCTAGTGTTCCTAAGGTTTCCAGAATCTGTTTGGACCTAGGGAGTAGATAATTACATATATAAATATTTAATTTTGTAAAGCCATGATTCAAAATTTGGCACTCTGTCATTTCCAGTGGATTTAGAAAACATTAATTTTAAGAATTGGCTTTAATAGCAATGGAAATTTCTAAAAAAAAATTCCATTTGCTGCAAAAACCAGTTCTTAAAGTAAGCCGCATTAGCAAGGAAATTGCAAAAAAGAAGAGGAAAGAAATTGTGCAATAACAACTAAAAAGTCTTCAAAGCCTCAGTTCTTGCTAATGCTTACATCATTACTGAACTAGACAGACGGCCGTGGCTTCTTTGCAAACTTAATTTGACACATAAAAGCAATGTTGAATTTTCAGTATGATTAATAATTTAATACCATCTTTTTTTTTCCTTTTTTCCTTTCCTTTGTAAGTGGGGAGCCTTAAGTATAGAATAAGAGCAATGCATCTGTTTTTAGTCTGAAGAAAAATGTCCACAATTTCAAGCAAATAACCACTTTATTTGAATTCTTTCTGTAGTGCTGTAGTAATTTCAGCAAAAGCCTAAACTTTCTAGCTTTAATAATGTATGAGATAATTGGCTAGCCAAATATCTCAAATAAACTATGATTGCATGATTGTCCTTTAAGACTTCTTTCATAATCTAGGATCAATAAAGTACCAAAGGAAATCTTTTTCAAATTAAACTTGTTCATCTCACCTTTTGTGGGTCTCTGCCAGAGATTTTTCTTCCATCTCATGGTCAGTTTTAGCTAAGTAACAAACAGAAAATAAAGTTATAGATAAAATAAAGATTGTTGCAGTGATGTTATTAAATAAATTCTCATTGCACATACTTTGGGGGAGAAAACTTCTGTCTCAGTATTTTTTACATGATTCTTGAAGCAATGAGCTTGGCCTTGACTTTAAAATAATGAAATCCAGAAACAGTTTAAGATCACTTGAACTCACAGTAGAAATGAGCATATCTGAAGACACTTCCATATAAGGGTTTTCCTTCATTGCCCCGAATTCATTATAAACCATTTCTAACTTTATAAAGTTGTCTTTATAAAGACTGTCTTTCACAGTCTTCAATTCTGCCAATTTCACCATACTTAGAACAGACAGGATCACCATAATCCAAGCAATCCCCCCCCCCAATTTTTTTTTCTTTTTTCAAGTCTCAAACTGAATTTCTTTTTAATAATAGAACACAGTTCTGGAAAAATTCACCAGCTTCTATTCAACATGAAACAAAAAGAAAATTTCTAATTACTGCACAATTTTACACCCCACCCCTATATCTTCAGTATATGTTGTGGGCATCTATGAACGTATGATATGGGCAGTATAGGGAGCTCTCTGTGTATCAGTAGAGAAGAGGGAAAGTGATGGTTCATTGGCCTCCGGATTCTGGAAGATGGGTGATAAAAATAGGGCGGAAAATATCAATCTGGGTAGGTTTGTTTTTCCTTTTATTTAAGGATCATAAGAATGATTAGATATTGAATAAAAGGATTAAAATCATGTTTGCTGAAAAATATTGCTTAATAACTATCCAATCTTTTTAACAGGGACTGTAAATTTGATTTAAAGGGACTACAGGTAGTCCTTGACTTACAACAGTCCATTTAGTGACTGTTCAAAGTTACAATGGCATTGAAAAAGTGATTTACCAATGTTTTTCACAGATACAACCTTCGCAGCATCCCCATGATCATGTGATAAAAATCCAGATGCTCAGCATCTGTTTCATATTTATGACCGCTACTATGTCCCAAGTTCATGTGACTCCCCTCTTGTGACCTTCTGTCAAGCAAAGTCAATGGAAAGCCAAATTCATTTAACAACCAGGTTACTCACTGATCAACTGCCATGATTCACTTAACAACTGAGGCAAGAAAGGTCATAAAATGGGGCAAAATTCACTTATAAAATGTCTCAGTTAACAACAAAAATTTTGGGCTCAATTATGACCATAAGTCGAGGACTACCTGTACAAGCATTAGGATTTGATTTGCTAATAGGTTTTCCTATATTCCTCTTGTAGCAGTTAGATTGCTATAAGTTGATCTTATTTGTTGAGAGGCAGAGTGAAGTAAGAACAAAGCCAATAGAAAATGAATTGCCCACTAGTCCTGTAGGTTTTAAAAAACTGCGCTTTTACTCCCTTTTAAAACAAAATGGTTCCAACATTTGGATAACTTTCTAAAGATTCGTCAAATTTATTTTCATTCTCATCTACGAGGGTGGGGGTGGTAAACCATCATGAGTCATTCTTTTATTTTATTTTATTTGCATTAATGATCTTTCTATATGTTACAAGAATCACCTGCTTAAAATTGAACAGCTTTAAATTAATACTGTATTTGATACTTTTTGATGATGAGTTATGATAACAGGTGAATTTTCCCTTTTGGCAAATTATGCTAATCAAGAGTTACGGTGAAACTCTGATTTACTTGTAATTACACAAACCACGTATGTAGTCTTTGAAAAAAATCTGAACAGAAGCTAGACCTAACAAATCTTGATAAAACAATTCTGAATATGTTAGTGAGAACTTGCTGTACATTTGCTCCAAGGGATTTGAAGAAATGGTTAAACTAAATAGGACAACATGATATCAGAACCATTAAAGTTCAGCTATTATGCCTACTATTAAAAGTTAAATTAAGTTAAATTAAATTAAGTGTTAATTTAACTTAATGTTGAAGCGGTCTACACCATATCAACAAGAGGTTTCACGAAGGTTTTTGTCCTCTTCATCATTCTCCTTCAGTGATTTGTTGTTGTTTTTGTTTTGGTTAGGATTGCGTAATGCTTAGAATTTGATCTCTGAAAGCTGCTTCAGAGCATCCTGGTGTATGAATGTAGCGCTTGTCTGTAATAGTTTAAACTGACCACTCTGTTATTAATACTGCATAGAGTTTTCTTTTTCTCAAATCCCAATTGTCATTTCAACACCCCATTGTTAGACAAAATGCTTAGGAGAAATTGAAAAGTTACTACATCCACTTTTAAAAACCATGTTTTTAAAATAGAAACTTGACCACTTTTTTTTATTTGCTAAGAACCATTGACAAGGAACAGAGAAAGACAAAGCTTTGTTAATTCATGGAAATGAGATCCAAATTTCAGGTAGTCTGGATGTATGATTCCACACATTTTCATCATATTGACTTGAGAACCCATGGAGACACAGAATTTGATGACAGGGCAGGCAAATTTCTCATTAAGTTATCCACAATAATAGTCAATGTTAAACTCCATTAAGTTAAGGCTCACAAACATGCTTCTTGGGGTTGGACAGCAGGAGAAACATAACATTAGCTTCACAACCATTTAATTTTATTCCAAGCCTGCAATTTATAATTAAGCCAAATTGGGCCTGGAGCCAAATAAATTTGAACTGGGTAAACCATTACATAATTATCCTTTGAGCACAGGTATACTTTTTTTAAAAAAATAGGCTTAATTACAACTATTCCTCAAATGCAGATGCTAAACGTTATCACAAAAACAGTGCATCTCTTTGGCATCCACCACAGTTGTTGAAAGATTATTTAAAAACTTCCTGTATAGGAAGGTATGTTAGTGAATGTCACTGCAGTGTATAGTTAAGATATAAGTAAATACCTAGAATGAAGCAAATATATGTGACACAGGATAATGTAGCAGGATCCAATTTGGGTCAGTCTGTTGGACCAGAGGTTTAGTCTTTTGAGCAATGAATACCAAGAGTTCATTGTCAACTTTATTCAGTTGAACTTGTAGCATTTTTTCAAGGATATACAGGTGAAACTCGAAAAATTAGAATATCATGCAAAAGTTCGTTTATTTCAGTAATGCAACTTAAAAGGTGAAACTAATATATGAGCTAAGACTCATTAAATGCAAAGCAAGATAGTTCAAGCCATGATTTGTCATAATTGTGATGATTATGGCTTACAGCTCATGAAAACCCCAAATCCACCATCTCAGAAAACTAGAATATTACATGCAATCAATAAAACAAGAACAATATATAGAACAATATCAGACCTCTGAAAAGTATAAGCATGCATATGTACTCAGTACTTGGTTTGGGTCCCTTTTGCAGCAATTACTGCCTCAATGCGGCGTGGCATGGAAGCTATCAGCCTGTGGCACTGCTGAGGTATTATGGAAGACCAGGATGCTTCAATATCAGCCTTCAGCTCTTCTGCATTGTTCAGTCTCATGTCTCTCATCTTTCTCTTGGCAATGCCCCATATGGTTCAAAGATGTATCTCTATGTCCCCTGTCCTCCCCATGCCGCCCCCCTAGGGCATTTTATGAAAACATTTCTTTTCAAAAATAAGCCTTTTGGAGATGAGAAGGGCAAGAATATGTGAGAAATATCCAGCATTGTGAATATCATATGATTGTGTGGGACATAGGATAAAAGTAGAAGTAGAATCAGAGAACATGGTATATACTTTTCTTCTGTAGGTAAAAACTGTACAGGTAGTAACAAGTCCAGAATCTTATACAGAACAATGAGAAAACATGAGCCAATGTAGATGAGTGATTGCTATCAACAGTCTTATGCCACATGTCTTACTCTTGAAAGAGATGAGAAGATGACACAAAACTATGTATAGAAATAACTAGAGAAAAAGGAGCCAACAATTTTTGACACTCACTGCCACATTCATGCTACTTGATTACTGGATCTTAACTCTTAATAAAAGGCAACTGATACTGGAAAGGCTTGTGATGAATAACTGTTGAAATATAGATATCTTGAAAGAAAGTATGCTTAGCACGAAGTAAAAAAAAAAAAAGATAGCAGGCAATTTCTGCATTAGAGCCAAAAGTAAGTTTCCTGAATGTTCTTGGAGACCAAAAGTTCCATTGTTGTTTCATGAACTTGCACTGGTAAGAATGGCAATTACTTCTCAATGAAAAAGTCATCTCATTGACTAAACTAAGAACTAGTTTGAGAAAGACACTACGGATGGAGAAAATGCTGAATCAAATTAATGAGAAAAAGTTTAAAGATCACTTTCTTAGAACATGTATGGAGCAAAGTCCATAGAAGCCAAGCTCTCAAATGAAATATAAAGAATTACCCAAAGCTATGAAACCAAAATTTACTTTTATTAATGTTTTTAATTAGGTTAAGGAAAGTATTACACACATCTGTTGAGAAACTTGTGCACTATCCTGAAATAGCTGAGTCTCTTTATAACTTTCATGAACTATGGAAAAATTAAATTAAAAAAATGAAAATTCCATTATTAAAAGAAAAAAAGAAAAACCAACATTCCCTTTAAATACAAAGGTGTAGAAAGCATTATGAGATCTTGCAATCTTACAGAGGAGTTCAGATTACAACTCCCATCATCTCTGATAGATGGATATGCTGGCTAGAATCTATGAGAACTGGAATCAAAAGATGTCAGGAGTACTGTCAGCCTATTTGATCTTAAGAGAAACACCTCAACTTCTCAGGGTAACTGAACATTAAAGTGGGTATTAATAATCACAGACGGAATGTAGCAAGAAACTTTTCAATTCCTTGTCTGAATGTTTCTGCAGGTTTACTGATTTTGATTTTCCTTGTTCCTTTGCTACATTTAAAGAATGCTTAAATTTGGCCATATTTCAAACATCTCATACAGTTATTTTTTTTTAAAAAAATGGATAATTAGTTGAAGTTTTCTAAGATGAATAATGTGAATTTTCCACATTTAAATTAATACAGCTCTTTAAACAGGAGTGTTAAAATATTATGCGTACATGTAGCCATGTATTACAATGTCTTCATATGTAATACACATTATACAGTTAATGATCTTGTGATTAACTTAACAATCAGATTGAAAATGGTTGTAAAATCATGTGATGACTTAATCACATCATTTAGCAACCAAAATTCTGGTCCTAATGTTAGTTGTAAATTGAGGACTACTTGCCTATATATGATTCATTACAGTCCTAGCACCCAGACATTTAGAAATTTTTCTTATTTTAATTAGGACTTTTTATTTTTAGCACTTTAATACAACTATATCAAACAGGAAGAAAACAGAACATTTAACTAGATATAAAATAAATTATAGGATCATGGGATCATAGGGCTGGAAGGGACCTTGGAGGCCTTCTAGTCCAACTCCCTGTCTTATGTGAGCTGCTAAAATAGGTAATCAAAAAGGCAGAAAGTGGAAGTTCCTTATTGGCATTAAATGGCAATCCAGCTATTTGGGATAAATTAGCCCTCATTTTTCCCTACAGGGTTATGTGTTGGGAATTAATAGATGTTTGAAGCAAAAATAATTTCCAGTTCTGGTTAGATTCTTTTGTTTATAAAGTTTATATAAAAGTTTAGAAAACAGATAATTTTGTATGTGACTTAGAAGTACGTCTGCATTAAATATGTGGAGTTTGAAGCTGCATTAGATAGGAAGATTATTGAAACAAAGAAAATAAGTTCAACTGCCAGGACTCAACTTCCAGACCCTGATGACTGAGAAACTTCACCAACATATTTGGAAGTAAAGTAAACTATTTTCAAGGCAGTAGTTGCTATTGCTAGTTGTAACCCAACTCCTTATGTCCTAAAAATCCTTTTATATCAAGATTTTTGCAAATCTGCTTCCAACCAATAGATGAGGCAATACAAAAAGAAGGCTAGATTGAGCAGAAGAATTTGTGTACAAAAAAACCCCAAGTAAACAGCTTGATTTACTTTTTTTTTAAAAAAGAAAATGTTTAATCCATGAACTGCATATTGGAGAACTATATACTCAGTGTAAATTTTAAGAAATTAAACTTCAAAAATTGTTTTGAAAACTTTTCCTGAATACATCCTGTACAAACAAATCTTCAAAGTTGTCCTTTTTTATGTTTATTTATTTTTTCCACAATGGAATGCTGGAAAGAAATGCCATCAAGGAGCTCAAAATCAATTTGTCTGTCTGTCAGCATGGCAAGCCTCCCCAAAAGCAAAAAGAGAAAGTCTTAGTTTGGTGTGGAGGAGACGCCAGCAAAAGAAATATCAAGTTTGAAAATGAACTGGATCAAATTAGGGGCTGCAGATTTCCCCCCTCCCATTCAGTCCTATGGGAGAGGTGGTTGGATAGCAACTTGGAATGCTGTTGGCTGCTCCATCTCAAAGCCCTCCTCCCTCCTGGTCATGTGATCCTGGGTGGGCCTGCTATGAAGGGGTTGGAAAGAATTTCAGAAGCCGTGCTCTGCATGCTTTCCTTGTTTTGCTTCTTCTCCATTATCTTTGTGTCCAGTCTTGCGGAAGCAACCCGTTGATTAAATCGACCTCAATAACAAATGACCATAGAAAAACCTATTGCAATTAAAGCCTATCAAATTCTAAGCGGGGAAAGAGAAATCCTGCCTGAACTTTTTCAAGTTTGAATTTGATCCAGCCAAATAAAAATGAAAGGATTTTATATTGCAAGGTATATAATGTTACTTTAATTACAGAAATTAACCAAAGGTTTTGGCCATACATCTCCTATAGGGCAAACTTTTTTAAAAAAACTAATACTTTGCTGGGAAAGATATTAAATGGAAATGACATCTGCAAGGGAGAATTAGCTGACAAGAAGGGTGTATATAGGATCACGGCTTCCCTTTCCAATCAGCACATCCATGTCCTTTGTGGTACTTTTCTCTATATAACAGAGTTTTTCCAGGTGGGAAAAACCTGCCAAGAAGAATGTTTCTAAGGCAACTGAGAGAAGAAGAGGCTAGAGAAAGAATTGAAATCAGATGGAGAGATGATACAATTGGGAAAAAAAACCCTTTCTTTCCATTTGGCGTTCCTATTGTTTCTTTAACTGTGACAGATAAGTAAAGGGAAGCTTGGAAATCAGTTTTGAGCCTTGGCAGATAGTGAAGGCTACATGGCAGGGAAACCAGGAATTATTCCCCAACAAGGAAACCTCACAAAGAAGAAGGGGGGCAATATATTTTCCAAAGCACCAGAAGGCAAGACAAGAAACAATGGATGGAAACAAATTAAACAGAGAAGCATCCTAGAACTGAAGAGAAATTTTCTAAGTGAGAACTATCAACCAATGGAATGGCTTCCCTTCAAAAGTTGTGGGTGCTCCATCACTGCAGCCCTTTAAACAAGAAACTGGAAGAACCACCAGTGTCAGGCCTGTAGTTATATTCCTTTTAGAATCTTTAGAATCTTTGGCCTGCCACACTTTCTCTCTCTTTCTTTACTATGCTGTTTCATTAGTGGGCAATTGGGAGGGGGGAATAGTAAGGAGTAGAATTGTGGAATGTGTTGTTGTCATTCCTTTCTAGAAATCAAGGTCATTCTTTGTCTCTGCACCTCTGCATCTGACCAGAACTAGATGTTTCAATTTGGTGGGAATCCGAGGAAGTTTCAGATTCGGGATTCCATAGATTGTGCCAACATGTCTGTCTTATTAAATTGGAACTTTAAGGATAGCTATGCCTTGGACTCTAATTTAATTCTGCATGATATTTGGAATGCTGACAGCTAGTCTGGAATAGTATAGAGTCTCCTGCTTGAGCAGAGGGTTGGACTAGAGGATCTCCCAGGTCCCCTCCAATTCTGCTATTCTGTTATTTGTCAGTCTTCTGATTCATGATAGAGTCAGCAGGTGTCAGAATAATTTAAATCTTTGATTATCACAATTGCATGCCTCTTTGAAAGACTAGTCATGTGATATAGAAAGGCCCCATCTATATTGTCTTCACTTTTTCTTCAAAGTTCATGAAGATCCAGGAATATCGATAGTATTATTTGTTAAGAATTTCATTGTATACTAAAGACACTAGAAAGACACTTTCTCACTTAGTTCCAAAGTATAGGTCCTTTTTTTTCTTAAATATTTTGAGTGTGTGTATTTGCGCATGTATTTATGTGGGCATGATAAAGATCACTGAAAAAAATGAAATGAAGATGAAAAGATAACTATGTCCTACAAACCCACATTTCTTTTTACATTTCCTGAACGTGACATTTTTAGAAAATTCTTTGGATTTTGTTTCTAAAACATATGACTGTCCAGAGGTAATCTGCAAATGAAATAACCCGAAGTTTATAGGCCCTTTGAAAAATATCACCATGTATCTGGACACAAGTCAAAGCACCAGTTTATGAAACTGTCAAGAAACAAATGTTGGAAAATTGCTTCCTACACAGAATGCAAACTCAGGAAACTTTCTTAGAGAACAATGGCCACTAATAACATTCAGAAAGGGAGCACAGAACAGGTAAGCTATTTTGAAATAAGAAACCATCTGATTAAGCTAATCTGCACATTTCTATGGCTCCAAAATAAATAGACACGTCATTCACCATGTCTAAATATTGTTTCTACAACATTCTTGTGATAAAGCTTGGAAAGGTTAAATTACTAGTCATTATTTACCTTGACTAATGAATTTGTCCATGTTGTCTTTAAAGGGCTGGATGTGTTCTTCTAATGAAAACTGGCAAACCTTGCCTGCTTCTGTCTCACACGCTGAAAATTAAAGTAACATGAGGATTTGAAATAAAATGTTGATTTATAATATTCATTATAAAGAAAAGTAAACTTTCATTATAGTTTTCCTGTGTTGGATCCCAACAGACATTTAGGATGAGTTGCAAAGACTGATTTCTCATTGAAAACATACATGTTTTTGTTGCATTACTGACACTTAGTCTGTCTAAAGTTTATTCATGACATATCATTGGTCATGGAAATCTATATTAATGTAATTTTTAATGCACAGCAATACAACTTCAATAGTTATCATTGCAATGCCACATATGTAGAATAAAATGCATCTCATTGAAAAAATTCAGCCTGCAGTATCATACTAGCAATATCCAATCTGAACCATATAAAAGGTTCAACTGTTTGCTTTTCTGATTCAAGCCACAATTTGCATCATTATGGATGCATACGCATGCAGAATCCAGTAGCAAATCTGAAAGTCATTTAAATATATTGGCCAAAGAACAGCTCTTTAATATACAAAGTAGTACATTTATATGTTTTTATTGCTTTTATTCTAAAAACAAACAAATGAAAAGTATTGAATTCCACTGGCTATTTCCAATCCCAGCTAAAATGTGGTGAATAATTTATCTTTTATGGTTACAGATTTAATACTTATAGATAGATTTATAGCATTTTCTTCAGGAACTCAAAGCTACATACATAGTAATCTTATTCCAATTTTTCCCCAGTAGTCCCCACGTGGACAAGTTGTGGTAAGTGACAATAATAACTGGTCCAAAGGAACCAGTGAGTTTCATGATCACTAAAGTACTTCAGCCTGGATCTTCTCAGTGTAAATCCAACACATTCACACCCTATATTCTTACCATGATAAACCCATAAAATTCTCTTGTGAACAGTAACTGACATTCACCACTTAAGAGAAAAGCAGAATAAAATTATGAAAGACCTTTAAAATGTTGAATGGTCTGCAAAGCTGTGGGTAACCTTAACTATTTATTTCAAATCACATCTGAAAAAACAACTACTTGTGTTCATGCTAAGATATTGAACTGAATGATGTATTTATCAGGTTATCAAGCTCAGGGAATTTAATGGTTATTTTTAATTGTAAACTTCAAATTAAAATGTTAAACACAGAAAGCAAAATCTAAAGTGATCTTAACTATTAAAGGTACATAGTTTTGGGTTTTATTTCTCATGTGGTCTTAAAATTTGGCAGAATGGCAATTAAAGTTTGAAACTTATAATAACTAGAATTAGAAAAAAAGGCCTTTTTTTTTTTTTGGAAAAACCCAATTTTTAAATTTAAAATAAATAAATAAAATGAATTAAAGTAGCTTTTCTCATCTTGGTACCTTCCAGAAATAACTAGACATTCTATAAGAAATGCTTCCAATAAAAATGAAAGAAGATTGAGTCAAAATGTACTACAGTTATTTGTTTATTTAATTCCTTAACATTGCTTTTACATGAATATAAAATCAATGACATGGCTTTGAAAATAAAATAATTTTTGAATCAAGACCTAGAGAAGGTGCATTAAAATTACATTGGGAAATAAATATTCACTTAGAGCAAAACTGCCAAAAGTCTTAATGAAATTATTAAGACTTGTTTAATAGGTGAACTTGTTTTGTTTTTTAAATTAATTAACATTTGCTTCTTGAAGAGATTTTTTTAAAAAAACAACCAATACTGATCTGCCTTACAAGGATAAGCTTTTAAAATGTATCCACAAGTACAAATCAGATAGGCAAAACTATTTTTAACTCTGTGGAATCCTGTACTCAGTTACAATAATTTACCAAGGCTTAGATCACACACGCTTGTAAACATGTTTAACAACCCTACCATGTAAATTCTATTGACCTCAATGAGACCATTCATGGTTACCAAGTTTAGTGTTTATAGGCTCTGTGTCTAAACAAATGTGATGTTAGGCCAATTACACAGTAAGCGCGGGAGCTGCGGTGCAATATAAGCTTGTTTTGATCACTTATGTGGTTTCACTGACTTCTGTTGTCTCTTCAGGGAAAACCAATCTGGTTTCTGACTTCAAGAGCAGAAAGTAGAAAACAAAATGTACTTGTTTAGAGTGAAGAATAAATCATTGACAGTTAAAATGGAGTGATTTTATTTTCTTTACAATGCACAAAGCCTTGGACACAGCAAAAAAATAAATCCTTATCTAGAATATGCACACAATAGATTCAAGATCACATGTGTATTTATGTGTGTGTATGTGAGAGACAGACCCAGAGAGAGTGGGGGAGGGAACAAATGAGCAAGCGAGTGAGCACTGACACATTTTGGCTACTAAGATATAGGAGGAAATATTTATGTTATTATCAACAACAATGAATTAGAATCAGTATTTTGTTTTATATCAATCCCCCATCATCTCTTTTACCCAACTGAAGGCAAAATAAGTGGATTCAATTTGCTAGTAATTTTATGGCATCACAAGGATGTGACAACTCACAGACAAATACATATATGTATCTGGATTTCAAATTTGCTGTTGCTTCTGGTACCAATATGCTATTTACATGACAAAAATAGCATGACATGTCCACAAAAGGGCAGGTCTCTTTCTCCAGCTTGTTTCCAAGCTTCTGGGTACATGTGAAAAGTTCAATATACATTGAATAGTTTGTTAAACCATAGCGAAAACAAAGCAAGCAAACAACAGCAGCCACAAAGCATAGTCAAATAGACTGTAGGTGGTATTAATATTGAAGAGTGAAAATGTTATGGAAGTTCAGAAATGTACTTTCTTGTGTGCTTCATCTTAGTTTGGTACACCTGGAGGAGAAGAATACTCATGTGCAAATTCTGTTTGTTGATTTTAGTTTGACGTTCAAAACAATAATTCCCTAGCATTTTGTTTCCATTTCCATCTCCTTGAATACGGGTTCCCCACACAGCTGTCTCTTGAGTCCCTTACTGTTCACCTTGATGACTCATGACTGCTGGGCCAAGTCTGCTATGAATCATATTGTGAAGTATGCAAATGACATGACAGTGAAGGGGCTTATCCAGGATGACAGTGAAGATTCTTATAGGGAGGAAAGGAAGGCTTTGGTGGACTGGTGCAATGAAAATAATCTGGTTTTGAATGTTAAAAAGACAAAGGAGAATTCTGTTGATTTTAGAAAGAATTGGCATACTCATACTACACTTTGTATCAAGCATGCAGCTGTGGAGGTGATAATAGTATTAAGTCTCTGGGGGTGCAGATAACTAACAATCAAAATAGGTCTCTTCATATATTATCTTTAGTGAATCAGGCAAACCATACTCTGCATTTTCTGTGTTGGATGAGGAGAGCACATCTTTCTCCTTCTGTCCTGACCACTTTTTACAGAGGCACAATTGATAGCATTTTAACAAACTGCATCACTGATTGGTTTGGTGGTAGCAGTGCCTTAGATAGAAGGTCCTTACAGACAGTGGTAAGGACAGCCGAGAAGATTATAGGAAGCTCACTTCCTGTTATTCAGGATACTGCTTATAAGTGCTATGTGCTTAGAGCTTGTATTGTTAGAGACCCCACATACCCATTTCATGGTTTGTTTCTTTTGCTCCCTCTAGGAGAAAGTTTAAAAGAATCTATAGCAGGACTACTAAGATTTTGTAACAGCTTTGTTCTTTATGCCATCCATCTTATAAACTCGCAGGATTCTTTTTTTTCACCATATACATCCGAACTAGACTCTGATATTTTTCTGTGTCATATATGTGAGTGTATATGCATAATGGTTATCTTTTGGGTGCTGAATGCAACAAAATTTCATTTTAATGTATGCTGATTAGGGTACATTTAAATTGACAATAATGTTTTTATTCTGTTCTATTCTATACTAACCTGAAATTGGAGGCAAGGATATTATAATACTAAATCTCAGTTACTACATCTCTGGAAAATGTATTAAAAATACATTCAAATTTTAAAAATCCAATACATGAATTGTCCTTATAATTTAAACATGGAGACATGTGTGCATCATGAATGCATCTTATTTCCTGTTCTAAACATTCTTCCAAACCATTTTTATGAATATATAATGGACATATGCATTTAAAAAATATTCTCTACAAGATTCTCATCTGATCTGACTACCCTACTGCCATACAGAAGTGGTAAAAGTTGAGATAAAGATATTTTGGAATGTAGCATCAGAAGGGGAAATCACATTTAACTGTATACACCTTCTCTTTTAATTACTTGTTCTGGGAAAGGATTGTTCTAACTTAGGCCAATGACTGTTGGGGCTTCATAACCCTCTCCCACAAGAGCCTTGTTTGGAGCTTTAAGCATTGTAAGACATGACTCAGAGACTGAATGAAATCTTGCCTTTCATTTACATATGGTTTCAGTTTAGAAGTCTGGATACAGCAGTGTTTCAGTCAATTAACCCTTTCAGCCATATTTGCAAAGACTACTGATGTCTGCGGATGCGGCAAGGATGATGAGCTGGCCACAAGAGCCCTGTATGAGATGGGTCAGCAGCAGTCATGCAAACCACTGAGGACTTGAACAGCCTCATTACCTTAAATTGAATCACATCCAAAGATGCAGCTCTTGTGTGCTGCTGTTCCTCATTCAATAGGAGAATAGCCTTGGAATGTTTTTATATGTCCCTCTGCAACTTGGGTCTATCTAAGTGGTTTAGGATTAGCATGGCATGGAGGTTCCTAAGAGTGATTCTGCACTGCCCTCTGTCGGGGTTACTGACCTTGGTTAACAAGTTATAAGTTATCACTGAACAAGACAGAATGTTTAAAAACATATTAAGATTATGACTTTTTCTACATTTTTTGAGTTCATATTTACTGATCTTGTATGTTTAAAATTACATATAATCACATAGATGTATGAAAGTAAAATCTGTGTAGATTTGAATTTTGATTTTGATACAGTTGAAATTTCACTTACTTGAATTGTGGCTAAACTGAGCTGGTTTGTTTCCCTTAGTTCTTATAATCTAGAGCAGGGAATGGCTTTCCCT